TGAGGTGGCCTGCCCCAATGTCTTGAGTCACGAAATAAACTGCTCTTGATTACAACCTTTTTGGAGAGATTTGTCGAATCTCGATGTAACTGCCCCAGGTTGAATGAATTCTGAATAGATCTCTCGACGTGATAGCCTCTGATTGATCGAGCTTGAAGAGATTTATCGACGTGATAGCCTCTGATTGATCGAGCTTGAAGAGATTTATCGACGTGATAGCCTCTGATTGACAGCTTTGAGGGAATGCCTCAGATTTGGCTAAACTTGGAGAGATCGACTCTTGACTTAATTGCCCCAGATTGGCAGGCTCTGCTGACTTCATCCCTGAATTGTACTCAGACTGTGAAGAACCAAGGTGATTTCTCTTGACAGAATCACCAGTTAACATGCTTCTAGATTAGTCATTTCTCTTGTGGCAGCTGACTCTTGCTTCAACAGGGTATTCAAGCCTCTCTTCTCTGACAAGATTGAGCTCTTTACCGATTGTTCATTGTGCAAACTTACTTGATGTCAATCAGTTGTTTTGTATGCAGAATAATGTTTATTATGAGAATGATAATTCTAATGCAACACACATGTAAGTCTTGAAGTTTGAAAAAAACTTTGAATGAAATGACGTCACAACTCTGTTGCGAACGAGTCACTAGCTAGAGAGAAATATTTGCAAAATCTTTTTATGAAAGATAATGCAAGCATATGATGCCAAAACAGATATTGAGATGTACCTCTTAGGAGTCAGTTAAACGCTATCTCGCTGTAGCACGCTTTCGAATTGACCCATGCTTCAATTAGGACTTTTATGGGTTGTAACGTGGCCTGGTTCACGGTTTTTAGAAAAAAGGATTTAAGGCTCAAAATTATTTGGTGCCCACCCATTCTCCATGATGTTCTCCATTCCTACGTTCAGTTGACCCGATACAAGCATTCGTCTCTCGAGAAGAGTTTGCAATAATTGAGGAACCACAGTGGTTTCTTGGACACGACAGTCACTAACTTCTGATTTTGGTGTCTGATCAGACTACTTTGTTCTTTGATGAGGATTTTCGTTGGTAATCCTTTTCTCGCCTTTTAGGCTTTTCAATTTCTTTCTTGCTTTCCCTAATTTTTGCCTGGACAAATTCTTTTGAATTTTGATTTGGAAGTCCAGCGGGATGCCCCAATTTTTGCCTAAGCGACTTGTTTTCAAGTTTCGACTTAGCGGGGATTTTTGTTTCTTTCTTATTCGCATTTTTTCATTTTGAACAAGTCGTTGATCTTTGCGTTGTTTTGATTCGTTGGAAGTGATCATGACTGCCTGAGTCTTTAGTAGATGCGAGATAGCCATTACTGTATTGTTATTTGTTGACCTTTTGACGTGCGAGGGATATCCATTGGGATATTGTTAATTGATGCACGTTGTTGATAGATGAGGGTGAACCATTGTGGTTTTGAATTTCCTCAGTCTTTTGATGGATAACCATTGTTGTATCCTTGGATGCACACTCTTGATGAGTTCTGAATGCTTGATCAGATTAGCTGAACACTACCCGCCCCAGGGTTGAAATGAGGGTTTTTTCTGAACAGAAAGGAAACTCCTACTTCGAAGGCTCAGAGGGGTTGACGAGGGTCTATCTCCCTTATATCTCCGGTGTTTGGGGATTGAAATAAGGCCTGTACATCGTCAGCAGGGTTTTACTCAAAAGCGTATCAACCATAGATTTTGCGTTTTCAGATTGTCGTCATCCTCCTTTGAATCTTTACCTAAAGCATAAGGCTAGGAAATATGGCATCAATATGCAAGCAAAACATTTAAAGAGTGATAACAAATGGATGAGTAAAAATGAAAGGAATACTTCAAGACAAGCATACTTATTGCATTAAGATTTTCGTTTAAAAATAGACAAGTTTCTATATACAAGCAATGTTTAAACAAACAAGCAGGAATGCAAATGAAAATGCAGTAAAGAAACCAATGATTGCCATTGTTGAGGAGACTTGACTCCGTGTGGACTTGCTAATTTTGACGACTTTTTGTAGTCTTGAAGCTCGAGTGTGCGAGAGAATCCCCTTTCAGATTTAATGTGAACACAGTAGTCTCTGGATTGAGCCTGTCTTGGACATTGTCTTTGGATGACATACCTTCTTCAACCGATTGGCCAGGTGCCCCAGTATAATATGCATCACCAAGCACATCATGTCTTAAAGAAATCATCATCAGAGTTTCCATGACCTGGCTTATCTGAGTATTTAATCCATTATCTTCCTGCTTGAAGAAGTTTCTGACTATGAGCCAAAGCTTGCATGTACCACTCAGAGTTATTCCATCACTGATCTTTGAGCATGTGTGGAGAGAAATCAGGTTGAACCTTTGAAGAGAACCCCAGGTCTGAATAAGAATCCCCAATCTTCGGATACCTGTCATGAATGCATGAATATGCATGGGGTGCATGAATGGATGCCATGTCAGGTTCTGTCATTTCCAAGGAATTTGCGTGTTTTGATTTTGATTTTTGCGCAAGTAAGGGATGGAAGAATTTTGGCATAAGACTTGCAAATGTAATTCCTTGGAGATAACAAAACATGTATGTTAAACATGTAGTTAGCTATGTTATGCATGCAAAGGCATGAGATCAAAGAGGATCATGGTTCCATCATAAGGTCGCTGCACTGCTCTGGATCATGTGAGTATTATCAGATCAGAGGTCCAACATAACTTTTGCATATATAAGGGCCAAGTACCCTGTGGATCTCCCATTGTCCGGGATCAAGGCTTCTGGAATATTGGATACTGTTGAGAATTTTCTGAATATGCTGGGGATACCAAGATTGAAGGTTTGAATGAACCTCCAGGTAAACAAGTCAGGAACTCAGAAAATAAATCTGAGAACCGCACGGTCACCAACAGGATATAGCATCTGCATAAAGTCATAACAGAAATCCAGAATATAGCCATCGGAACCAGTAGTCACTGTCTGAGCATAGTCACCATTTGTACCTGTATAACCATCTGAACACAGTCACCATCTGTACCTGTGATAGAAATTCCCTCCCCACTCACGGGTGAAAACTAGGTCAGGGTAAGATAACAGTAACTCGAAAATCATGGGTTCGCCTGAAAGTGCTATGGGCTTGCCCACAGACGTGGGTGCCGATAGTAATTCATTTGAACCTCATCCGAGCGTGGTATATGACATGACTGCACTAATCGGACCATGTCCTATAGCCGTCATGCCCCCACTCTATTCCTAGGTGTCCTAGTGCGTTCTGGCCTGGGTACTGGGCATTTTACCTCGATAGTAGCATCCCCACCCAACATAGAGAACAGAGTCCAGCATAATAGATAACAGATATGGAAAGCCATAAAATGCAATGCAAACATGTACAAATGAGTAAACTGAAAGCATAAAAATAAACACCCTAAGGAAAGAAAACTAGAGCTAGGAGCGACTCCGGGATGGACCAGCATTTGGTCGACCTGATTCCCCAGTGAAGTCGCCAGCTGAAACAACCGGCTGAAAATCATCAAAACAATGAAGTCGCCATCGAACGTCTTTTATCCCACATGTAGGGAAAGGCAAACATCGAGAAAACCTGATGAGGGAGAAGTCACGGTCTTGAGACCGAGAGATCGGGTAAGGGAGTCTGTTACGCGAGGGGAAGGTATTAGCACCCCACACGCCCGTAGTACTCTACGGTATCCACTCTTGTTATCTATCTTATGGGTGTGTTTAATCTATGCTTACTGTCTATTATACTACTGAGGGAAAATGCATGCAAAAGGAAGGAGAGAAGAATGTAGGGAAAATAAAATTGTGCTCGCCTGGGCCCTACCCCAATGCCTACGTATCCTTTTTAAGGAATCAGAGCTACCGTAGTTCGGCTCATATTTTTTTGTTTGTTTTGTGTTTTTTATGGACGAAGTTAATTCCGCCTTCTGCCGCAGCTCGACCTTTGGAGACTTATGCGTTGGCACAGAAGTAAATTAATCGTGTCCTTACCTGAAAAGGGTTTAAAAGAAAAAGGTGCTCGAGCGCACAAAAGATTTGATTTGTTTTGTATTTTCGTTGTAGATGATGACTGATTGACCTCAAGGGAGAGATATTAGCCATTTTTCTACTTAGTCATGAAAGGAGTCTTTGAGAATTGAACCACACCTATGCTTGAGATGAAGAACAATAAGATCGAGAAGAGACTCGCTTATCATTTCCCGTACTAAGCAAAAGCACGATTCTCATCAATAGTTTTAAAGTATTTTTGAATTTTGAAAGAAAAAAAGTTTTAGTTTTAGGTGCGTATGTTCAAAGAGAAAGGAAAGTCAGAAGGAGACTAGCTTACTTCTAAACCTAATGTTATTATGCGTTAGACCTAAAGTTAGAATTTTGAAGGGATTCTACTTAATGTTGTCATGTTTGAATTACGATAAAGTACGAAAATGAAGAATAAGATAGATTTGCGACAATAACGAACGGAGGCGGTCCGTTGCCTCTTCAAAATTGTGCAAGCGGTAAGAGAACTCTATCAAAGTTCCCTTGGGCGAGTGATTGAAGAATTAACCCCGAGTATTCCACATTGCAAGAGTTATATCAATGCTATCACAAGAATCTTGACTAAAAAAGTCAATAAAATGATTATCGAATATGAAAAATAAAATAGGAAAATTCTAATCGAAATTCTAAAAAGAAATTCTATTCTAAAAATATTCTGTTATTTTTATTGTTTTATTATTGATTAAAAAAATTAAACTAAAAGAAAAAAACTAAAATAATAAAAGAAAAGAAAAAAAATTAGAAGAGTTAGGGGGTATGAAGTCTAGAAATGAAGTAATTTGCCCAAAAGATTTTCAACATTTTTATTTATTATTTTCTTAATTATAATTGTTATTAATTTGAATTAAGAATAATGAAACAATAAGACAATTAAATTAAAAAGAAAAAAGTATGGAAAATGGAAAGGGAATAGGGTTAGAAAAAGATGTTTCGTCCTCTCCTCCGTAGAACAGCGGCGGCGGCGCCTCCGCCCAATCAGATTACGCTGAACGTAATGACGACGACGAAGATTCCCACAACCAGATTTTGGTTGAAGGAAGAGCGAAATCGCGTACAGCTATTCTCAACCGGCGATCTCTTCGTTTTGCTCCGTCTCATTCTCTCAACCTCAGCTTCCGGCGCGGCCTCTTCTTCCACTCTGTATCGACTCCATTCACCGTAAAACTCTTTCGAGCTTGCATCGATTGTAAATTTTTCAGGAGGCTGGTCTCCACTTACCTTTGAATAGACCTTGATCGTCATTTCGGCAAGCTGCCTAACTGTAACCTCATTGTTTGGGTTACCTACATTGAAGATGTGTGTATTGGGTCTGGCAGGGTTTTCAATCATCAAAAGGACAACTTCAATGGCATCTTTGATGTAAACAAAGGTTCTCTGGGGTTCGCCGCCGTCGACAAGCTTGAGAGGCTCTCCTCTGAGAAGATTATTGCTGAGGCATGCAAGAACCCGAGGAACACCCTCTCTTGGACCGTGGATGCCGGGAATGAAGTCCATTCTGAGTCCAATCCAATTAAAGGGCCTCACAATAGTAAACTCCAAGCCATTTTCAGCACCTTCAGCATAAACCAACCTCTCAATCAACGGCTTCCGAAGCCGTCTTATCTTCTCCCTACGTCAATTGAAACAACGCCGCCGTATCTGTAGGAGTCGCTCCGACGGTATTTCAACGGTGACGTTTGTAAGAAAACCAGAGGTTAATTCTTTAATCTAATCTTCTTCCTGTGAACTGGATGCTCTATGTTTTTTAGCAATTCAAAATGATTTCTTCTGTTTTTGTGTTTTCTGCCTCCGTGAATTGTTGTTGTGGAGATCGTATCGTTGTTACATATTTAATGTTGTTGTTGATGTATAGAATTCACGAAGCTTGGATGATGATGATGAAGTTGGTTCTTGAAGCGGTTGCGGATCGGTGACTTGATGCAAGAAGATCGATGAAACGGGTCGAAGAACATGAAGACGAGCATAACTGTGTGCTGAAGATGTGAGTGATGCACATTGATGACTTGCAATGAAGATGATGAAGATGAAAATTCTTGTGCAGAGAGAGAATATTTATGGAGTTTTCTTGGAGTTTCCTGTGTTTCTTCTATGAAGATTGAAGAATGATTGAGGATGAAGATGCATAGAGTTTTTTTTTTTGGTTTTTTCTGAGGGTGATTCTTCAAGTGGTGAAGAATGAAATGATTGGGAGGTAATTCTATATTTATTCTGTTAGTAAATCATATATCTATTCTCTATCTATGCATATGCTGGAAGTTGTTTTTATAGTTAGGAGGTTAGAAATTCGGTTAGGTGGTTAGGAGGTGGAAAAAAAGTTGGTTATAGTTAGAAGTTAAGAAAAAGTTTGTTATGCAGTTAGAAGTGGTTGTTGTGCTGTTAGTTTGAGAAGGTAACAGTGTGCCCCTTTGACATCAGCTATCTAACTTATACTATATTCTCCACGTCTATTCTTCACAGTGAGGTTACATCTTAAGTCCCAAAGACGGAAGGATCCATCTCTTGAACCAGAGACAAGAATATCAGAATTAGTTGGGTGAGAACAAATAGATTTCACACTCCCCAAATGCCCCACTAACACTCGAAGACACTTCTGTTCTTGAACATCCTATACCTTGACAGTTTGATCACCAGAAGCAGTGAGGATCTGTGTATCATCCTTAATCCAGTTGACATCAAAAACCGCATTATTGTAGGAGGATTAACTAGTATTGCAGAATGATATGTTATTTGCATTGTTAATGTGTTAATACTTGCTGTAGGAGCTGGAACTGGAGAAATTTATTACCCACAGAATACCATTTTCAAAGCTTTTGATTACATGCTCAAAGGGGGAGTCCATCAGATGTATCATCAAAATGGATGAGTATTTTTCTAAAACTGTGTCGGTTTGTTTTAAGCACATAATACTTGGTGTAATTGTTGATTTTTATATTTTAAATTAAATTAACTTGATTACATACTGGTACTGAACTGGCTTGGAAAAATAGTTGTTTATGCAGGTTTTCTTTTGGTATGAAACATGGACTGAGGCTTGGACATAACCAGGTTGGAACGGGGCAATCTTGGAAGATAGTGGCTTGAAGATAAATAAGTTTAGAACTGATGGAGACCTTGATTTAGAATTCTTGATTTAGAGTTCCTTAGCTTTAGGCTACTTGAATATTTAATGTAAATTCTTGTTTTTTTTTTATTTAGTAATTTTGGATGTAAACGTCCTTTTGAAATCTTATTTTGCTGCTAGTCATACGTAATTTGCATTAGATTCTAGATTTATGACATACAATTTATATCAGTTAGATAAACACAATGCAAAAGCATATTAACTGTGTAATACTAAAGCATATTGTCAATCAGTGTTTGGATGATGCAGAAAATGACACTATTGTAAGGCAGTCTTTGTATGTAGAAGCAAATGTCCCGGGTTCTGATATGGAAAAAAAATCAACTAGTGCAATAATCTGTTGCAGATCAGATTCACCCTCCTTTCTCGGTTGTGATGTCCCAAAAATGCCCGTTAATCATGAATGACTTGGTTTTCGTCCAACAAGCATTGGCTAAATTCCTATTAGATCCTTGGAAGGAACAAGAGGGACTTATTTTATGAAAAATTCAACTGGCCAGGACATTGATGGTTTGCAAGCTTGGTTGAACTCCTTCGGCCTCGCAACAGTATTAAGCAAAAAGCGTGATGTGAACCTGATGTCATATAGCTCATAAGTAATAATCATGATAAATTAGAGATGCATGAGACGACAATTAAATGATCGTTATGGCTGTTAGTCAAGAGTTTTGTAAGTCTGTTAACCAAAGTATATTAGTGAAAGTGATTAATCCTTGTTACAATTATTAATGCTGATAAGTAACCCAATAGCAACCGAACTTTTGGATATTGGTATTAAGATAATATAATTTCACACCTGATTCATAATATAATCAATTAAATTAGTTAAATAAGAGTAGGAAGATCCACCCTCTAACAAAGTCTTCTTACTCTTTTCGCTCATCTCTTTCACTTTCTTCCTTACTGCTCCATTTTTATCCAACACACTCTTTATTCCTCGAAATCCATGATTTTATGCCAATTTATTGATTAATGATGCATGATGTGTTAGATGACCTAATGTGAGAAAAAATGCAAAAATGCGTAAGTCAGATAGGAAGTAGAAGGGTAGGACAAATTTGGGGTATTACATCGGGGGGTAGATTATGAAAAGGAAAGGTGCAAGAACCCTTTTATTCCATGGTTATCCATGGGCTCTTAGTTACTTGTTTAGATTACTTGCTTTTGCTTTTCAATTGTTTGAAATGGTGCTTTGTGTGTGTAGTTTTGAAAATGCTTTGAAAAAGAGGCCATCATTGTGGCAACCTTTGTAATGATTCTTGTTTGAATATATACAAAGGTGTTTGTCTTTTGAAAAGATATTTCAATGTTTGAAAGTTTGATTTTCGGAAATGTTTTAAAATTTTGTTGTGAGGTGTGTTTGAAAATAGCAAGGATGTTTTGCAAGTTTTGATCAAGTAACTAAGAGTTATCTACCCTATTTTACTCAAAGATCTTTCCTATACGTTTTTAACCCTTTTGACAGTGTTGTTTTACCATTGCATTTGGTAAACAACCTTGTATGAGGATGTTAAACGGGACAGGCGCGAGTCATCGTATAGACCATGATAGCAATTATGTTAAGTATTTTTAGTAAATTTTCCAAGGGACTAGATCATTTTGTGTAGGCAACCAAGATAGCGTCATCGAGGGACTATGATATTTTGTTTTGTTTTTGTGTTCCCAAAATACTCAACATGCATAACATGACCCATTTTTAAGACAATAAGTGGATGTAACCCTAGGGGTGCAAGTGTGCATTATGTTGTCAATTTACATGTTTTTTGTCTTTGTATTAGTTAAGCTATTTGTTTGATTTTTGGATTGTTGGCATACAAAACCTAATCTCTAATCATGGCATAATTGAAAGCGTAAATGCGTAAAATAAATCTACCACTATTACAACCTGATTATGGGGAGAGGGATACAATTTTTGAATGGGGATTATTTGACAAGAAATTAAAACCCTAATTTTACTATTACATCCAAATTGAATAAATGGCATAAATAATAAATGAATTAAATAAACAAATTAAATAAATATACAACATATTATGAATATACAAAAATATTTATGTTTATTTTTTATGTATGTAAAAAATGTTTAGTGTAAAAAGAAAGAAATAAAAAGATTATTTTTTATTTTATTAATTAAGGGTAAAAAACCCTAATTTTATTTAAAGAAGTATATTTATTAATATTATTTATTTATGCACAATAAAAATAAAAATATATTCAAGTGTAAAAAAAATATATTAAAAAAAAGTATTATTTTAATAAGGGTGGAAACCCTAGTTTTTTTGTTTTAAGATAATATATATTATATTGATTATTTTATATACAAAAAATAAAATATAAATATACATAAACATTTAGAAAAATAATAGTATGTGAGAAAAATATTATTTTATAGGTATGAATAATAAAAATAAAATATATAATATTTCTATAAGGTTTATGAGTTTTTATTAAATAAAATAAAAGTATATTCTACTTAATAATTATTTTCATGTCTAAAAAAAATAAATAATAATAAAAATAAAAGTGAAAATTTTTGAAAATATTTTTGGGTATTTTTTATGTTTAGAAAATATAAAATAAAATCAGAAATGAAAATAAATACAAAAAATATAAAAATGTAAAGAAATTGGGCCAGGGAGGTGCAATCAGTAAAAGGGGGGTGTCAATAGTGAGCCAGAACCAAGCCAAGCCCAACGGACTTCATCTTCAACCTTTGTCTCAAACAAAACACGCGCCCTGTACAAATCTCCAGATCCTGCATACGTGCTCTAATGCAAAAACTCAAAACATCAAAGTTGTAGCATTTTTCAAGACGAATCCAACCATGTAAAGAACTCGTTCATACTCTCCAAGACCAGAGATAATTTCTCTGGCCCTAAATCCTAACCTAATTTTTTCAGGAAGTTCATGGATCAAATTCTCTTAGCATGCTTAACTAAAATGAAAACTGAGCATATGTATAGCTTCATGGCTATGAATACTACATTTTTTATTCACAAACCTAAGCCTAATTATTCCTAAATAGAGAGATAGGAAGTTGACAAAAACCTGTTTCAGTTGACTTCGTGTATGGCAATGTGGCGCTTTTCAGTGAGGCCTGAGATGTTTGGGAGCTTGCTTGAACTTCCTCTGACCCTCCCCAATGCCTAGCTTGCCTTGAATGTGCTTGGACAAGCCTGTAGAACTCAACCTGCACAAGATGAAATCAAAAATGGCAAACCTTGTAAATGGAGTTACAATCAGTGTTTAAGGGTTGGGATAGCTTGGATAGGTTATGTGGAAGGTGTTTCAACCAGTTTGAGGCAAAACGCACGAGGGATTTGAGCTATGAAAATTAAACTGCAGGGAGTGCCCTATTTTGCCAAATGAAGATGATTTTGTGCTATGGGAGGTTTGAGGGCTCAAAGGCTCATGTTTCTGGCTCAAGGGGATGTGATAAACTTGTCTTAAGTGCTTGCAAAGGTTGGTTTTTTCAGATGTGTAAGTTGTGTGAATTTTGACATGTTTCTTGTATATGAAGCCAAAAGCAAAAACATGATGCAAGACAAGCCTGTACAGGCTATCTATCAACCTGCACCTCATGCTCTTGGCCCCTCAAGTTGGTGGATTTGATTTTCTGCACGAGATATGGCTCAATGCTCAAGGATGCAGTTTTGACATAAAGCAAGATTTAAACAAAAATGGTAATGTTGCTTTTTCTATTTAAGGATTAATCTTGTGTGCAATCCTCTAATGACCAAAACAAAGACTTAGACCAATGGATTTGCATTTAATTATTGAGTGTGGAATGGTTTTGAGACCTGTAATCAAGTACAAAGCAAGCTGATTAGAGTTTGCAACTTGTATCAATATGAACATGCCATGGATAAAAAGTG